ATTGCAACTCATTATAGTGTTATTAATTCAATTGTAAAATACTTAGTACAGGGGTACATCTCGATCTCTCTTTACTCAAGGTCAGTATCTGAGACGGGAGTTCCAGTATACATGGCCTATGTAGAGGGATTGATTTGTGGCCCCTGGGGATATTTCGCTTCTAAATTGCAATTCATTATAGTGTTATTAATTCAATTGTAAAATACTTAGTACAGGGGTACATCTCTCTCTTTACTCAAGGTCAGTATCTGAGACGGGAGTTCCAGTATACATGGTCTATGTAGAGGGAGTGTTTTGTGGCCTCTGTTGAGGATATTTGGCTACCCAATTTTTAACTAAAAGATTCATTAAATTTCATGAATTCTATTGAAACTGCAGTGTGCCATGCACCAATAGTATTAATGCTACACGTACCACATGCAATGCAATGGAATTTTAAATAATATCTGAAATTTACTTTTCTAATAATTTCTTTATTGATTCTTTTTCTTCCATATCAATCATGTCATGACTGGATACTGGGAGAGAAATGCTTTTGAGACTTTGAATGGCAGACAGAGGTAGTGGACCCGGTAGCTTCATGTGAACAACTGATCCTTGCACTGTTGCAGCTCTCAGTACGACCATCAGCACTGTTTGTGATGCTGCAGATTGCTGAAGTGATCACCGGACGTTTCCTGTCCTAGGAAGGAGCCTGTGAAGAACTGATTACTCCATCAAATGATCATGATTTTATATTTTGTTTTTATACTATGTCAGAAAATTATGTGATATTTAAGTTTTCAATATCTTTAATTATGATTTTATATACCAGTATAGTTTTCAAACCATGTCAGAAAATTTGATTGATTTAATTAATACCCATTTAAAATGAAAGTTCTTCTGTAATATTTAAGTTTTCAATATTTGTATTTTGTAATCATGATTTTATATTATGTTTTTATACTATGTCAGAAAATTTGGTTGATTTAATTAATACACATTTAAAATTAAAGCTCTTATGTAATATTCAAGTTTTCAATATCGTTAATTATGATTTTATATACCGGTATTGTTTTCATACCATGTCAGAAAATTTGATTGATTTAATTAATACCCATCTAAAATTAAAGTTCTTCTGTAATATTTAAGATTTCAATATTTTTAATTATGATTTTATATTATGTTTTTATACTATGTCAGAAAATTTGATTGATTTAATTAATACACATTTAAAATTAAAGTTCTTCTGTAATATTTAAGTTTTCAATATTTTTAATTATGATTTTATATTATGTTTTTATACTATGTCAGAAAATTTGATTTGATTGATTTAATTAATACCAATTTAAAATTAAAGTTCTTTAATTTAATTAAGTCTTCAATATTTTAAATTATTAGTTGCACCAGTAGCATACGCAGGATTTTTCACGACTCAGCCAGCCACTGAATAAGCGCGGGGGGGGGGGGGTAGTTAAAGAGCACATTATTATTGTGAGCCTGTGTTTACATCATTTTGTCTTATACATGTAACTCTTGTCATCGGAATCTTACAAAGAAAAAGGGCATACTTATATAATGTTGGTGAATTGTGGGGGGGGGGGGGGGGTAAGAGCACATTATTATAGTGAGCCTGTGTTTACATCATTTTGTCTTATACATGTAACTCTTGTCATCGGAATCTTACAAAGCAAAAGGGCATACTTATATAATGTTGGTGGATTGTGGGGGGGGGGGGGGGGTAGGTAAGAGCACATTATTATTGTGAGCCTGTGTTTACATCATTTTTTTCTGATACATGTATTCCAAACTGCATCTGAAGAATGAAATGAAATGCAATTTTTCAAAGAAAAAGGGCATACTTGGTACACATATTTTTGGGCTAAATAGACCCTGACTTCTTGAAATTATTTTAAATTGTTTAAAAAAGAAAAAGGGGTATGATAAAAAGCATATCACATCCTTATGAAATTGGCCAGATCCAAGAGCATTTTGCTTGGCTGCACGCGACTTCTGATCGCAAACGTGAGCCGTAGGGGAATTTTCCAAACTATTGATTTAGACTGTTGGGTTTTTCGCCCCTACTTGGAGATGAAGTATGACGGTGCTGTTTTGGAAGATGCACCATTGTAGTAAATGACGGTGCTGTTTTGGAAGATGCATCGTTGTAGTAAATTACTGTAATCATATATCTACATTTGAAATGTACCGATAGATTATTCAATTTTTTTTGTATAAACATTGCCACTTAACGATAGAACGTAACTTGGTCTAGATATACATTGCTTGAATTATTTTTGCATGCACATTACTGTAGATAATCAGTGACATGTATCCTTCACTTTTTGAATGATGATCTTAAGATGATTGCATATTTTCTCATACCTGCATTCGGACTGCAGAGTATTGTCTGTGTCAGACAAACAGTTGTAAATAATTGTAAATTAAAAAATCAACCTGTGATTGTTGATGGAATAACACACAAATAATGAATACAAGCCTTTCTTTTGTACATAAATAGGAGAACTAGAGAGCGAGGAGGGGAAAACTACTGAAATTTAGATTTAGGGAGAGAGAGAGGGAGAGATCGAAAGAGACTGGGCAGGACAAAACACAAGATTGATATGAAAAAGAGAGCAATAAAATAAAAAGATAATAATACAACAAAACTGGACAATGTTTGAGTCAGAGAGCGAACAATAGAATTACGAGCAAGAAATAAAATGGTGTGTACAAATGTTAGCTGAAGATGGGGAAAATGAGAGACAAAATAGATATGAGGGAGTGGTAATGAGAGGATATAATTTCAAAGCACAAATCATGCAACAAAAGTACAATAAGCTGGTTACTGTAAGGGTATGAAAAGAGAGTGGGAATTAAAGGCTACTTTAAACAATGCAATTGATAGTCAAAATAAAAAAGAATGGTAGTAATAGAAGTTTTAAAAATATAAGCACAACAAAAATTGTTTCTGTTTTTATCATTAGATAAGTGAAAGAGATCGAGATCATGGTAACAAAAAAATGAAAGGGAAGGGGGAATCAAGCAAAAGAGAGTGATGGGATCCGATGAACAAATGAGTAAAAAATAATTAAAATCATGTTGGCAGTGTCAAGCCAGACGGCAGACAGCCAGCGATCAATGCATCATGATTATACCAGCCCATTGAAGCTAGTGCATTCCGAGTGCATTGCCCGTTCAAAACACGAAATCACCATACACTCAGCTCACTCAGTCACTGCATTGCATTGCACTGCACTAGCGTTTGTGTAGCTTTAGCTAGAACAGCACGATTGTATTTTGATCTGAATCTAATATCATTAGGGATCAGGCTGTATAAGGGAAATACCCAAGTGTTTTTCGCAACAATTAATTCATGCAACAAAGAGATTGTTATGAATACGCACCTGGGCTTGGGAATCCCCCCCAGCTGAGCTGACGTGATGACTCAGCGCGCGATCGCCAGCTGACTGCCGAGTTTGGCTGGCAAGCTGAGATCACGTCATCATCGGCGCCCATCCAGAAATGCAGCGCATGCGCATGAGGGAGCGATGACATCATGTGCAATGTCAAGGGTCATCTTGAGAACGGACGCGTATGCGGATGCACACTGAAGATGAAGGAGGAGGAGTTTAACAATCGCGCACAATAAGCGCCGCAGCTAAGCAACAGGCGTACGCTATGCATATAGCGCTACGCAGATTGCTGTGCGAGCTGCTCAGCTGTTGAGCACAATTTGCAACTCTGCGTGTAACATCTTTTTCGACCATTCCGATCAAAATCATATGAATATTGAATAGATTTGAGGGGGCTGTATCTTTTGATAGAAACATCGGTGAGTCTTGAAATTTGAAATGGGTAGTTATGAGTCCATGATTTTTCTAAATATCCAACAATAATGGTGACAAACGATCCGAAAGTGAAAATTGAAAAATCGTCCAGACACCCTATCACTAGATCTAAGTAAAGTACACATTTTGAGTGAAATCAGCTGAGTTTTGTACAGTGCTGTGTGAAATGTTGAGAATCAATAGCACAGCTTTTAATACACAGCCAGGACGCAGGAGGCGAGTTTGCTCAGTTAGTAAAGCGTCTGCCTGTCGAAGCAAACATGGAGATATAGATCTAGACCTAGGTCACGTCTACTAGAATAGCGCTTAATACAAATGTCTCTCAGCGCCTTTACTTTAGGCCTAGAGTCTAAGCGCTTTACAACAAGTATGTAGACCCTAAATATTATTAGATCTACTATCCTTCTTCTTCAAGATAATCTGCCTCCGGCCTCCTTCAATACTGAAGATTCTTCAAGATGCCTGCCCTAGAATCTATACCATTGACTTTAGTACTACTACTAGGCCTGATTGGGGTGTGCATGTGGACCATTACACTAGGGTCTAGATTTCACCACTTATATTACTAGACCTCTAGCTATAATTTATAGCTACGAATAGTGCAATGAAATGGTTCTTTGCAAGGGTGACTCTCCTGTACACGGGGCCTCCATTTAACGTCCTAGTCTGTCCTGTTTTCCACTTGACATAACCTGCGCCTAGACCTAGTACTAGTAGTAGTATGAACAAGGGAAGGGGAACGTTAACACTTCAGTCATCCGCCTGGGTTCGGGTCAAACCCGGGATCTCCCTTCTTAATCTTAGATCTAGACTAGACCTAGGGTCTATATAAAAATTAAATATTATTTATTATTATTATGCAGCTAGACTATGTAGGTCTATGTTCAGTAGACAGTAGGCCGTAGGGTCTGTTGCGAAAATGCCCGGCAGTTCTAGGGCGGGCACTACATGCAGCTTCCGCTCTCAGGTCGCGCCTGAAATTGGGCAATTTAATTAGGCCCAAGTTAGATCCGTCTAACTTAGGCCTACTCATGCACTCGCCCCGGCACACGAGCTCTCACTCTCAGGATCAATCTTTGTTTAACCTCCGGAAAGTATTCAAATATCAAAAAACACATAAATATCACCTTATGAATACGAAATTACGGAATAAATATGACATGTACTTACAGGATTTCTACAGAAAACCGTGTCCAGCACCGAAGTTGCCTAGCTGTTACTGTTGTCACAGATAAGGTCGTTGTTTTAGTAGTTGGATATAGGCGCGCGCGCTAGAGCGAGCGCGACAGTGCAATTAGACTCGTTCGCGAACTATCAATACATATTATTGACTATATAAACTTGTTATTTGTTTTATGAAACGGAATTTTACTTCTATCGCAGATTGAATTCTTAATTAGATGTGTTATAAATAACAAATTTGTTATATTTATTCGATTCTGAGTTCAATGCTGCGGATATATTCGAGTCTCTTAAGACTTCTGGTGCATTTGAGTCTTGAACAAGACTATTCAGTCGCTACCCTTGGTAGGCTGTTCTTAAAGAAAAGATCCGCAATTGTCAATGACTGCTAATTTGTGTCGATCACGTTGTCATTTAAGTTGTAGGCAGTTTTGTTTGTTAAAGTTCTGTTTCAAAGGGAAACAATTATCTTCATAAGTCAATTAAGTCGAATTCAGAAGAATGTTAGATGGTGCAGAGGTACAGCTCAATTAGACTATACTGTGAAACTAAGGTCAGTATATAGCTAGAGAAACACTGATAATGAATATATGATGATGACGATAATAATAATAATAGTAATAATAATGATAATAATAACAACAATAAAAACTTACAATAATGATAATAAACCATATGTTTGAGGCTTGGAGCTTTTATGTCACTGAGTCAATTCAGTTCGCACCATTTGACAGTTTTGGTTAAATTATGCTCTCGCCAGATCAGACATTGAATATATATTTTTCAAATTAAAACTTTGTATGTATTTAAAAACAAAATTGAATAGCGGAACTACAATTCATCGCCCCAGATTTAATACCGCTTGAACACTCATGCTGAGGATCAATTTACAAGAAACATAATAGCATATACCTCAAAGTTAATTGTGCTGAAAATAAAGTTTATTGAGGGGGTGCATTAAAAGAAAACATATGGAGATAATGAATAATTATGCAAGGTAAACCAAAAAAGCCCAAATCTATACCATATAGATGAATACCAAGGTTTGATTGTTCTAAAACGACTGCAGGATTAAATAAATTCCTATTATGCGAATGATTTATTTAACATGAAATGGGTATACATAAACATTGTTAATATCGTGATATCCAATAGTCATACAACTTAAATAGTTTCATACACACTAAGCAGTGGCAAACCCTACACACACAACAGCTCTTACATCTATTTGTCACATATTGCAGCTATAATCTTCTATAGATTTCTTGTGTTAGAATATTCACCACATAATGTGTATAATTTTGTTAGTTTTACACTAAGTATTATGGAAAGACATAATAACGTATTAGGTTCAACTTTGCATAATGAACTGCATAATAAATAAATGGCAGGAAAAAAAAAATCTGAATTCGTCTAATTGCTACGCAAATTCTACCTTTAATTAAACGTAATTAAACGGCGTGATACACCCTTTCCTGCATGTAAAATACACGACGTGTAAATCGATTTCCACACAATCTGTCACAAATGGGATCCATCCTGAATGGAAAAATGTGTATGTACGAAGGTTTATAGTTCGAGATGGTGTTATTGTCCTGTTTAGGTACTTTGTTCAACTTTTTGTCTTGCGCTTTAAATTGATGATTCAAACTTTGTAGAGTGATAGTTCATGCCATTACATATTTTTAGAATCAATTTTGAAACACGGTTACATTAAAAACATATTTTAAAAATTAATTAACCTAATCTATTTTGAAGAGCGCCCTCGCTTTTATCCTCGTATCGACGTACCTAATAATATTGCACTTTACTTTTATGTCAGCTTTTTTTCTGGTCAATATAGAGGTTTCTTTCAGCTAGATTCCTTTCGTGTGCATTCAACCTTCTTTCAAATTGGTCTTACAACTGATTGGATTCAAATGTTTGTCCCTAAACGGAAAATGTGCTTAAATAGCGCATTGTTCTTAATATGTGTGCCATGTTTTGTCAATGGAGGCTTCTAATTGTAGCCACTGCCCCCTTTTAAATATAAGACGGATTATCTACAAACTATATTAAAACCGTGTAACAATTTAGGAAATTTATCAAGGAGAATTACAAAAAATGATTATAGATTATTGAAAATAAAATTTAGCCATGCCCATACATTCAGTAGAATTGCCTTAGTAAGATATATTGAATGTCTTAAATCATAGATGTAATTTTAATTTTAACGGGGCATTGCAGGAAAATGTGAAAAATAGTATTTGACAAAATATTGTGCATCAGTTTATAAAATGTACATTGTATGAGTGATGAGGGGCAGCATTGTAATGAAAAGCTTGACAATTTTGGCCCTAGAATATAGTTTTTTGATTTTGTTGTTACATAAGGGTTTTCATGACATGCAGTGAAATCACAGGGTTATATCAATGCCCTTCTAGTTCCCAATTTGCGACATAGAGTAGAGAACACCGATGTGTTTTGAACAGCTATCATGTTTCTGTGGAGATCCAGAATATAATCTAGCTCTGAGCAGATGTTTTACTTTTCTCGGAATCTCACAGCCCTTAGTCCAAATATTTTTACTTTATTTTAGCGGCGTCCTACCGGTTTCTCGTAATATGATGGACCAGGACTCCCCTCTCCAAATCTCAACAACCCATTTCACATCAAGTCTCTCTTAATCACACCAAGGCACAGCTGGCAGCCATTATACTTAAAGTATGTGGCGTCTACACTCAGGAGCGGATCCAGCCGGCGAAAAGAGGGGGGGGGGGCAAATCTTGAGAAAACAATTTAGCGCCGACTAAGCCGGCCGGTGAAAAATGAAAAAACGCGGGGGGGGGGGGGGGGGGCTGGGTGTAGAAGCACATTTTTTTTTTTGGGTACAGTTTTAGAGGAAAAATTTAGCGCCGACTCAGCCGGCTGTGAATAAGCCGGGGGGGGGGGGGGGGGTAAGAGCACATATATATTTTTTTAATATATTGGGCCCACTTCGTGAGAAAATATTTAGCAGCGATTCATCCAGTCGGTGAATACGCAGGGGGGGGGGGTGTAATATTTTGTTTTGGTGTGGGCGAAATTTTTTAAAAATTTTTGGGCGCCGCTTTTGTTTTTGTTTAAAAAAAGGTTACATTTACGTTATTATCCTATTTTTTTAAACATTTTTTTTAGACTAGAGGGTGGGGGGGGGGGGGGGAGCAGGGCCGGAAAAATCGCCACGTGGATCCGCGTCTGTCTACACTGACTTAATGGCACAAACGAACAATTCAAAGACATGAAATTGCAAAAGAATAAATCTCATCCAGTTTGAAGTACATGTAGTACAATACTGATAAAATCGTTTATTAAAGATATAATTCTTCTGTCAATATTGTTAGAAGAAACACATTCTTGGTAATAATATAACGTCGGGTATTTAGGGTAGCTGAACAACAACAAATGTAAAAACACATAGATGTTTATACAGGCAAATAAAGTACAAATTGCATTCAGAGAAAGGATCCATCACCAAAGAAAAAAACAAATTATAATAGAACCTACAAATGTACTCGTTATTACACATCTCATGATTGCAATTAATATAAAGATGTCAATACAAGTTGATACTATGAAAGAGAGAAAAGACTAATGCACATGCCTCTCAAAAAAGACATACAAAAGACATAACCTCGCACTCATCAGAGCGAAACTGGAGAACATAGAGCCAAAATAACTACACTACTTTAAGATCCTTTTCTTACCAATCCAACAAGTCTGAAAATTTGAGACAAAAGGCATCATTATGTAATTGCTGAACTAACCCAATTACACATTCCTCTATCGATTGATTTGCTTGAGAGGAATACCTATAGGGGGGGGGGAGGGGTATCTGAAATGATATGTGACATCCCATCAAGGAGTGAAAAGAAAAGTAAAGGAATGCAACATGATCGACCCCTCCCACATATGCTCCAACTTGAGATTCCAGTTATCTGTCTAAACAATTAATTCAATTAATAAGAGCAGCAGCCCCCCCCCCCATGACATCAGTGCCCTCTCAGTAACTCAACCCATGCTAAACTATTAACACTACCGATTAATTATCAAAAACCAAGATCATGACAAGATATCAGTTGAAAAGTCTTAAACTGCCTATAACAGGAATATCAATTATTTAAGTTAAACTTACACTGTACATGCACTATGTATTTTCTGAGAAGACTGTAGGTATTTGTTTAACCTTTTCCCTCATAAAAGATAGAGAGATTATATAAAACTTGCACACCAGAGAATTCGAAAATTTACCAGCAATTACCCTTAGCTTAATTACCTAATGTGATGGGTGTATTTTTGCTACCAAAGAATACATGCCAAAATAAAATCAATATGATTTTAAAGAATTGTATACATTTGAATGTGGGCAATTCAACTAAAATTGACCATGAGCCGAACTCATGAAAATTGGCAATGACTTCAAAAATATATATTTCCTGTAATGACAAATTTAGTACCAAACACAGGAAAAAAGGTATACAAATAGGAAAAAAATCACCCCGTTCTTTTCTTTGAGTAGAATAATAATATTGAAAATTGTTTACGCATGGCTTAATTGGGTTAACATCTAGCAAGAACTTTAGTACCCAAAAAATGCTCCAAAAAGAAATTGTATAGCAATTGTAAATAGTATAACCTTATATTTAAACAATTATGTTCAGAGTATAAGCTTTTGTTGATACCTAAATAAGACTTATTACTTATTGAGCTCTAAAACTCATACAGTTTTGAATTAAACCGACAATGGGTAATGAAAGAAATGAAATCCCATCGCAAACACAAATAAAAGCAGTCACAAAAAGTCAACACCACCCTCTCCTCAGAAAATACTTGCCTATAATTGTGATTTCAAAATTCTGTAATAACCGATACATTGGTTAATTGGTGTGAAAAACCTAAATACAAGCTAAACATAATGAATAAAAAGATTGATTAAAAAGATACTTCATTCTGAGATGACTCTTTTGTAATTAATCAAAATTGTAATAATAATCATAATGCATGTAAGTACTTTAATTGCTGATTTAGAGAGAAGGAGAAAAAGTACATGAGAGGGGAGGATAA